ATATATATATAAATTATCATATGTATAAAATATAAATTCAGAGAAGCTGTTCATTTATTTGATATTTGTCAAACTTTCAAATGAGATTAATTCTCATTTGTGATAAAGAATACTTTTTAATAACAAATCAAATTTATTAAAAAAAATAATTTTTGATAAAATAAAATTTGTAGCATACATATTTACCTTTTGTGCTTTCTATTTATTGTATATGTTGATAAAAAAAAATCAAAATAGGAAAGATTAGAAGTTTTATGTTTTATTTAGAATTTTTATTATAAAATATGTTTTAAAATAAATTATCATCTAAAAATTTATATCACATATTAAAAACATGTTTATATCATAAATAAATTAAACTTAATTTTTATAAAATTTAACATATTTATTTTTATATTTTTATTAGTATTAAATTATTATAAAATAGGTATTTAAAATTGTAGTTCTAATTAAATATTTAAAAAAATATCAGTGACAGATAAATATGTCATATTTAAAACATGTATTTTTAAAGAAAGTTACGTTCAAATTTATTAAATTATAATATAACATAGTTTGATCTAATTTATTTTCATCTTTAATTGTAATCGTAGATATAAAAACTTGTAAAAAATAATTATAATATATATTTCTTGTATTTTTACACACTCCATTTCAATCACCAATCCTAAACAATTAAATGGGGGACAGGTATAACATTTATACAAGCATGCAAATTAAAGCTCCTATTGTCCACTTGTAGTTGTAAGACATCACTTTCACTTGTGGGGCAAACAAGCATCGCAAGAAGAAAACCACCCACCTTACTCATTTCCCTCTTCAAACACTATTCACTCATGTTATATAACTATATGATTACAGTCTTATATCGGGCAAACTTTTTACCTTGCCCGGCGAATAAGCTCAGTATTCAGATTTGTTAGTTTATGAATTATCAAATAGTAAAAACTTATTTTATTAGTAGAAGGAATGAGGGGCAAATTTATAATGATAGGCTTAGTTGAGAGGAAAAACTAGTTTAGAGGAATATATATATATATATATATATATATATATTTAACCATTTAAAACATTACTGCTCATATTTTTATTTTTTAATATGATAAATATATTTATTTATACGTTTTTATTTTAATACACTAAAAATATTCGTTAGCTTTTTTATAAAAGTAATTAATGAACTTTTTTGCTTATGAAATGAGAGTAATGATATGGAAATTACAGTTGTAAGCTGTTTTTGTTTTATGTCAGCCAATTAATGTTTTAGAATATTGGTTAAAAAGCAAAATGATTTAACATAATCTATTTTTTTAAAAAGTATTATTTAACATGATATCTAAAATTCCTCTTTAAAAATGTTATTAATACTTTTTATATTAGTAAGATCTTTAGGTTATGTCTGCCAAAAATAGTTAAAAAGTTAGTTAAAATTTGCAAAGACTAGTTAAAAAATAAAAATAAAATAAAAAAGAGAAAAATGTTAGTTAATTAAAAGTTGTTAAACTAGTTTATTAAATTATAATAAGTATGTAGTAAAGTTATCGGTCGAAGCAATTGATAAACTTTAAATGATGGAAGTGAATGTATTTATGTAATATTTTTAATATAAATTTTAATTTTATTTACAAATAAATAATATTTTTGAGTAATTATAACTTTAGTTTATTGTTTAAAGATCAAGTTTTTAATTATATTTTTAGTTTCAATTAATTTTTTTTCATACTTGCATTTTATTAACAACCCATATGTTATTACACTACAACACAAATGGTATTTAGCAACATTTGAAAAATGTTACTTAATTATGTATAATGCTAATTTGTTTTAGCAACATATTATCAAATGTTGTATATAGTCCATGTTGCTAAAGACTTTTAATAACATTTTTGCATAATTAGGTAACATTTTTTAAATGTTACCAAAGTAGTATTTTTGTAACATTTTAATAATTTTTTGTAACATTTTAATGATGTTACCAATATTTTGTTAATCTTATAAAATAAAAATTAATTTTAATTAATATTACTATCAATTATTATATTTTTATGTTTCCTAAACTTCTAAGAGTTCCTTAAGTTTTTAGGGAAATACATTTTTAGTTAGTCACCACTAATTATATATAGAATATCAAATTTCATTTATCTTAAATATAACTATATGAGTATATATACTCTTTATAAGTCATTAACCTATTCGATGTGGGACTTTAATTATGAGTTACAATTAGATATAAGAGAAATATATTTTTTTTTACTCGATGTGGGACTTTGATTTTAAAAGCAATTATAGTAACATTTTTCAAAAAAATGTTGCAAAATAACTTATGTAAAAAAATTTATTCGATATGGGACTTTGATTTTGAAAACAATTAGAAAGAATAATATTGAAATAAAAAATGTTACTCTATCTATAATGACATTTTTCAAAAAAGTGTTACAAAATAATATTTATTTAATATATAGTAACATTTTAACAAATGTAAACAAGAAAATGTTGTTAAAAGATTAAAATCTAGTAGTGTATATTCAATTATTCCTAATCAAGTTTAAAATAATAATAAAAAATACTCAAGCAGACATCATACTTTCATTGTGTTAAGTTTGTATCTTAATACCATTACATATTAGTATTTTATATTAATTAATTATCAATATTTTGAAACACAATGTTAAAACAACAAAAAAATTATATATAATAATATATTAATATGGAGGAACTGAATGCTATTGCATTCACCTTTGTTCACTTTTATTTTATTTATTAGTAAATGGTATTTTATTGGGACAGATGAGCTGGGAGAGCATGTGTTTCGGTCGTGCAAGATCCCATTTTCAAAATCCTAATCACCGAACAATAAAACAAGATAATGACAAAAGGAAATGTTTTTTCTATTGCCATTTTTTTAAAGTTCATACGTGGTGCAGGCAACACAAACTCGTTGAAAGCTGAGCAAACATAAAACAATGTAGTTCTGCTGTACCCACATACCTTAAATATTGCAATAATAAAAATTATTCTTACATAAATCAAATTGTAATATATATATTTAGAAACATTCATATATGTTACATTTAATATAATATAATCAAGCTCAATAACCAAACCAGACATATGTCAAGTGGACTGATCTAAAGGCTGAAAACATGCATTAATTATTAGCAAAACTTTCGATTAGTTTATATTTTCAGCGTTCGCCAAACGCCAGATCTATTTGTGATACAAGTTGAAAGCATCCTAATACAGACTAACTTCAATCAATTTTCTACACCATGAAACTTGAAGCTGAAAAGTCCAATATTCAATCATTCAAAAATTCTTCTCACGAGTCACTCTTTAATTACAATGCAAGGAATAAAAAAGTAATAAAAAAACAAAATTAATTTTCAGTCAAGACTCGTTTAGTCGTTTTCTATTGATTTTGGAGTCAACTCGAGCACAAGTATCGGCAATTGGCAAAGCAACGTTAGCCCAAGTAGGAGTGACATTTGTTTTAACGTAGTTGGATATAAACAAGTATAGGACGGTGGGAGTATTGTCGAAGATGATGGTAGTAAGATGAGGTTGTATCCGTACTGTAGCTGCAACATTAATAGTTGTTATTAATGGTGATAATGACCATTAGGAAATGAAAATGACAAGGCCGACAAAAAATTAGTGGTCGTATAAGTTACGATGGCGATACGAAGGATGCAGAAGGGGGGGCCGATAAGGATTTCGGTGTCTGTGTAGATCCATAACCAATGTGTTTGTCTGTTTAGAATTTAATTTAATTCGTATCCATAACCATGCAAAAAAAATGTCGGAAATTTCAGCTTTTTTTAATAGGCAATGATAATGAAATGAAGTGTAGAAAAGAAAAAAAGAATTAAGGGCAGAAGTGAGAATCTTTTAGCCATGCCGGTTGGAATTGAATCAATGAATCAATCATGTCACTGTAAAATTTGGAAAGCAGGGAGGGTCCACTGCCTATGATGTTAAGTTACATAAGGGGACTTCTCTCATGCTATCATTCTCTTTCTCTGTTTCTCTCTCTCTAAAATGTTTACATCTTATACATCTTTTCTTTCTATCTGCATATACAAATCGATGATATGATATGATACTCTCTTTTTACATGCTTGCTTTTCCTACCCTTTTTTCTGTTTACTTTACGAGAGAAGGGAAAGGAGTGTATGTATGTGTATATTAACAAAAGTTCATAGCAAAAATAATTGAGCTTGGTTGAAAGCAAGCAAGCAAAAATATAAACAATAGAGAAAGAAAAGATTTTTGTGGTTCTGAGAAAGAGAACAGAGGAAAAGAAAAGACAGAAAGCGCAACGTCAGAGTTAGCCGTAGGGTTCTCCTTGCTTTGTGGTTTCCGGTATTCAGATACAGAGGGAATCCTTCTTCTCATCTCTCATCTCTCTCTTTTTCTGATTTTCAACTTTCAGTACCTTGGTCTATATTTTTGTTCATATTACTGTGGCCATCACTGGATTTAATTTCTTGGTATATATATAAAAATAAATAAATTCTCTTGGGTTGGTGCCAAACAAATTTTGCTTCATAGATGTAGAGAACTCTCTCCACTTTTCATTTTTTCCCCCATGTATACTAATTTTCGTTCTTTGTTGGGATTTCAAAGACTATATATTCCTGAGCTGTCTATCAATTTTGCCTCTATGTTCTGTTGTTTTTCCCACTAGTCCAGTTCATGGTCCTTTCTGTTTTGGATGAGGGCTGTCCTTAGATCCTAGATTTAGAAGCTAGCAAGACGTGTAAGATAAGAAAAACTCAGATCTATGGCTCACGACAAATCAAATAACTCCAAATATGAGAAAAGATGATGAAGGGTTTGATACTTTGATGTTCCAATAACAAGTAGAAGAAAGCATGTCTAATTTGACTTGTGCATCCGGTGAAGCTAGTGCTTCTTCAGGCAACAGAACCGAAATTGGCACTGATTACTCTCAACAATACTTTGCTCCACCAACAACTCAAACTCAGCCTCCACTAAAGAAAAAGAGAAACCTTCCTGGCAACCCAGGTTTCTTAATTATATCTCTACACAAACTTCGAAACATAGTTTGTCTTGTTTGTAGTATGTCCTTGTCTTGTTTATCACAATTGGGTGTTTGTTTTTTCTTTACGTGAATTGTTTATTTAGACCCGGAAGCTGAAGTGGTCGCGTTGTCTCCAAAGACCCTTTTGGCGACCAATAGGTTCATTTGTGAGATCTGCAACAAGGGATTTCAAAGAGATCAGAATCTTCAACTTCACAGAAGAGGGCATAACTTACCGTGGAAGCTGAAGCAGAGAACAAGCAAGGAGATAAGGAAGAAGGTGTATGTGTGTCCAGAAGTTACTTGCGTACACCACGACCCTTCGAGGGCACTGGGGGACCTAACCGGTATCAAGAAGCACTTCTGCAGAAAACACGGCGAGAAGAAGTGGAAATGTGACAAATGCTCCAAGAAGTATGCTGTTCAATCTGACTGGAAAGCACACTCCAAAACCTGTGGCACTAGAGAGTACAGATGTGACTGTGGAACCCTCTTCTCAAGGTAACTAACCCTTTAGTTACAGCTTCAGTTTTCAAGTCAAACACATCATTCATTTATCAAGGATAAGTTGACTCAGATTCACATCTCTCTCTCTTTTTTTTTTTTTTTTGCTACAGCGTTAAACCCACATTCCTTATCTCTTCTTATGTACAGATGATCATTATATCCTCAACAAATATACCTAACTATAATATCCCTGTGAGAGAATGTTATAGTGTTTTGCATGTCCTAGATGAGTTTTTTATTTTTTTTTATTTTTTTTAAATAGATATGTTTAACAACTATATAAGCTCATACAACTTTGAGACCTATCTTTATCTTGATGAGTACTCATAACTTAATTCACCTAAACTTTTAAGCACAAAAAAAAATCTATGTTTGTGAATGAGCTTTTTTTAGTAGACATGATTCATGCATATGTCAAAGTGAGAATCAAAGATTAATTTACTGTTTGATTTCAATTTTTAAACGCAAGTTTTTCATCTCTCTCCACGTTTAAGTATCAATTTACAGAGAAGTTGCTATTTTTTCCTTCCATTCAAACGTGAAAAATCACGTTTTGACGCTGAAACAAACACACACTACATATGTGTGTGAGAATCAATTTTTGCATATCTTATAAGTTTCAAAATTTTAAATTTCTAATTTATAACTTATAAATTAGTTTAATGAAATAGAGCCTAAGGAAATAAACTAAAATTGAGAAATTTGAATGCAGTGGCAGGTGCCTAAGATGGAGTAGGTATTAGGTGTTGGGAAAAGACAGTAAAAATAGTATAGTTTAGGGAGATGGTTTGGTAATTTGTTTGTATGTGTGTGAGAATGATGCAGGAGGGACAGTTTCATAACCCACAGAGCCTTCTGTGATGCATTAGCAGAGGAGAGTGGAAGATCTGTGGCAGGCACAGGCACAGGAATAGGCTTAGGCATAGGCAACTCAAGTGAAACTCCTGAAGCAGCTCATGCAGGAATGATGATCTCTTCAGCTTCAGCCACTCACGATGAAGACATATTCCATGGATTGAAGGAAGAGCAACAAAGTTTGATGGCCCCTTGGGTTGGAGCACCATCATCATCATTCTTCTCTCCTCACGAAAACCCTAACCCTAGAGGTGGTCCCACTCTTCCTCACATGTCAGCCACAGCGTTGCTGCAGAAAGCAGCGGAAATGGGTGCAACGATGAGCTTGACTAGGACCCACCAACAACAGCAACAGGCTCACGTGTGTACCAATGCTGCTTTGGATTTGTCCTCACGTGAGGACCAGATGACCCCCACACTCCTTCACCATGTTATCAACTCTTTCTCTTCTCCCTTTCAAGGGACTTCTTTTGACCACACTTTTGGTGGCTGTGCGCCCAAAACAACCACCGCTCATGCCGCCGGAAATAATAACAGTGAAGCCCTCACCAGAGATTTCTTGGGTCTTACATCCCTCTCTCACAATGATTTTCTCAACATTGCTGCCATGGGAAACTGCATCAATAACCAAACCCAAAACCCTTGGCAAGGTTAGTTACTTTCATATTTTTTCTTTAATAAAATCACACCTTCCACAACGACAACCGAATCTATCTCATAATCCGACCAAGGGTGGTTGCTTATAGGTTAGCTCAGATGTCTTACATATACATATGTGGATTTTCTTTTTCTTTATTTCATTAATATATATACATATATTTTAGCTTTTTACTTATTTATTTTGCTTCTGTGTATGATGTATTGTCCATCTTCTCAATGGGAATGACCTTTCAGAATCCCAATATTTTCTTTCCTTATATATATAGAGAGAGGTATTTCACAAATGTCTATGACCTTAGTTCAATATTCTTGATCCTGGATGGTTAACACACACTAATGTCGTCAATGTTGATGCCATCAATTTTAAATATTGTAATGAAATATGATATGAATAAAATATAATTATAAAACTGGTTATAATATTATATTAAAGCATAAATACAACTAAAATAAATGCATCAATGTTTCATAACTCATTTTAGTTGTATTGGTATTTTTTTTTTAAATAATTGAACTGAAGTATATAAACATTTTAAAGTAACAATTATCTGATATGGTATGTTTTGGTTACCAGAACGATAACTGTTTTAAAGTATCGTGCTTCTAATTACTTGTGCCAGCAATGACACCCGTGAAATGATTTTTTGAATTACTCTTGTGAAGTGGATAAAAATGAGGTTTTTTTATTTTAATTTTTAATTTTTTTTATGGTTTTATGAAGAAATGTAGTTTAGAACAACAAGTGTAAGTATAATATTATTATATTGGGATTGTGAAAATAAAACTATATATGATAAATACTAGGGCTTGTACATATCAGAGAGTATGATGTATATATATGTTATTCAATTTTCATTATTGCTGTATTTCATAATTTAAAAAAAAAATGAGAGAAACACCGATATTTTTGTGATATAACTATTCATCTTTTGTTATTTTCCACTTTTAGAACGGGGTGATACTTTTTTTTAATCAAACATTTGGATTTTAGCTTAATATTCTTTTCTGACAATATTTTGTCATTTATGCTTTCTTGCCATTGGCTTTAAGATGAAGTCTGTTTGTTATGATAGGAATAACATGATCAGTCCTTATCACATTTGCATTCTTTATTTTGTACCACGCAGCTTTACAGAGGTTAAAGAAATTAAATAGAAAAACATTAAGTATGATAAACGTTAATGGGCAAAATGTGTCATCCATGTCGTGCGTCCTTTTCATATTTCTACTTTTATAGTTTAGCAAACCCTCTTATGCATACAAAAAGAAACATGATAAATAATAAATAACCTTGAACATGAAGAACCTACGCCAAAGAAAAAATCAAGCTGACCTGACCATCCAGTTCAACTGAATTTAAATGAACTTCATTACTATATAAATGAGTTTATGTAGTGTAATATTCATCATTTTTAATTGAAAATCCTTCCAATTCAAATTCTACTTCAACACAAGTTTTTGTTGTGTTTGATGGGAAAGTGTTAGAGTTGGTCTTGTATTCTGTCAAATGCAATTTTAGTAAAGATACAAATATTTAGTTACTGTCAAATAAAATTCATTTTGCTTTTAAATTTTGATTAATTTATAAGTGATGACAAACTAAGTTTAATTTACATCATGTTTTTACCTTCTAAAAACATTTGAACATAAATCATTTCACTTTAAAACCAAATTTTTTTTAAAATTAATTTTACAAAACACTTATCCAAATGCAAAGACATACTTAAAGGACAGATAATTAACTTATTTTTTTGTTTTGAACCGAAAATTTTACACAAACTTTCTCAGTTCAAGTGTTCAACACAAAAATGCAATCTTTTCTTTCAATAAAAAAATAGCATTAGTATATGTCTTACAAAAATTATCACGTATTAAAATTTTAAAATTGCACATATATGTAGCTGTAAGACTTTTTTTTCCTCATTTTGTTTAAGAGATACCAGGTAGTGATTTTAATTGTATTAGTTTTCTAATACCTAATAACAAAGTGGAAGATTTGTCTTTTGATGGAGTAAATATACTATTTGTTCCGTTGACTCTCATTGTGTGGTATTAGTTTTAATCCAATCTGTACATGGAATGGAGGACTCAACAATCAAATCTGCATAATATGTTAGCTCTTGATCACTGTTTCTTTATTTAGGTCGGTAATTATGAACCAATGAAATGTTCTCATGATAGCTTTGAATCTTTATAGGATAGTAGGCCTACGTGAAAATTTATCCACCTTTCCACTTTTTCTTATATCAAAACCTTGTTTCTCATCTCTGCTACCAAATCTTAATCATTAACCTTTTTCTTTAATTATTTGCAATTTCATTTTTTAAAATAGCTCATTCATGCAAATATATGATTCAGAGATTAATTTAGATAAATATTCAGTCACGTACATTTAAGTCTAACCATTAAAAATTAATCAATTGTACCAAGCCAACACTACCAGTATATTTGCTATTATATACGTCCAAACACCACTTCAAAATGAGTTGGACGCAAAAGCAATTCATTCATTTGAAGTCCGTCAATGCTAGTTAAATTACTGAAGTTCAAAACATTTTAGCTCAATAAAGATACTAAAGAAACAAGACATGGCTATGGAAGCAACATGGATATTCGATAAGAATTTATGGAAAAGTTTGATTATGGAGACGTATGCATGTAAAGTTTATTAAGGGATATATGATGGATGGGATGGGTGTCGGGTTTTAAAAAAGCATTGGATTCTTTGTGATGGGAAGGATTCGTGACTATGATATGCATGTTAGCCTGATTTGGATTTGTTGCTGTTTGATTTTTGAGAAATTTAAATAAAAGAAAAGAAAGATGTGGTTTGATACCCAATGTAGGTGCAAGTGGGATTCAATCCCGAGGGAGAATCCATTCATATCCATCCTCTTTTATATATATATATATATA